AACTTGGTAAGGCATACCATGACTGTATGAAGAACATATTTGACTAGTCAGAATATGAAAATCATGATATGTCATTAATGTCATGGTTTGATTTCCTGGTCACGCAGCTCTTGCGGTGGTTTCGTTCACACGGCATGTTGCAAAACTCGTATGGTATGACATGATTGCATGGCGAACACAGGTGACAGACCCTAACTCTAAAATCTTGACATGCGTGTCATGTAACAACATGACTATATGCCATGCTCATTATGCACTCGCGGCCGTTTCTATTGCGTCACATGTACCAAATTTGGTATTACAGTACGTGAATGAATGACAAAGGATTGTGAATGGTGCAAATATGATAATCATGAGATGCGTGTCATGTAACAACATGACTACATGACACACTCATTACGCGCTCGCGGCCATTTCGCTAGCTTCACATATGCCAAAATTGGTATTCCGGGACGTCAATGGATGATGAGGTATGCGACTGGTGCAAACATTATAATCATGAGATGTGTGTCATGTGAAAACATGACTACATGCCACAGTCAAGGCGCCAATTCATTTCGACGTGACACGGTGCGCGTGCTCGCCGGTGTTCATTTCATTGCGTCTTGCCGGCGTTGCCACGCCAGACGCCGGTCTTGCCATATACTAGCAGGCGCCCGCCGCTCTGCGTTGCTTTGGCGCATGCGAGTTTTAGCACGTCCGGCGTCCCTCCGTAACGGAAAGAGGGAGACGCAGTGTTTTCTGGGTAACGCATCGGCTCGAAATGCAGCATGTCGCATTTCACGCCGATTGCTGTCGGGCCGTGCCGATGGACGCTGGTCGCACCGGTCGGGCCTTGCATCAGACTATAGAGTGCTCGCGTTTTGCTAACGAAGCGTCGCTGTGCTCAACGTGAGCGCGCGTCAAGGCTACATCAGAGTATACTGGGCCCTTAATTATGCGCTCGTGGTCGTTATATACCAAATTTGGTGTTATGTGACGTCAATGCATGATGGAATATATGACTGGCGCAAATATGATAATCCTGACACGTGTACCATGTAAGAACATAACAACACACCCCACTCATAGCGTGATCGCGGGCGTTTCGCTAACTCCACATATACTGAATTGGGTATAACATGACGTGAATAGATTACGAAGGTATACTACACATCCAAACATAATAATAATGACACGGAAGTCATGTACGGCATCATTTACCTCCACCTCGTAACGTTGTGCTCATTTTAAAGATACATATCACCCTGTCTCATTCGTGCTTCGCGTATCGTCAATACCTACTGTACGTGGGATCTGCCAATTTTTTTAACACTCTTTAGGTACCTGCTGCCAGGACACTTGCAGGGTACCCTCTGCGCCATTAATCATTGTGTATTAGGCAGGCACTCACTATACCACCTACGTCATTCTTCGGAGAATCATGGTTCCCGCTGCACACTTGCAAGGAACTCTGTGCAATTTTTGTGTGCTGTGGCTGACGACAGTAAAGAATTATTCCAGTAGCTTTTGTAATCCCCACAATCCCCCACAGTGGGAGTGACCCACAGTTAATTGGTGAAAAAATTGGCATACCCCACGCATTGTGGCAATCGATGATATGCAAAGCGTGAAGGAGAAATGTTGATATGTCACTTTAAAATCAGCAGAAGGTTACGAGGTGGAGGTAAATCATGCCGCAAATTACTTCTGTGTCATAATTTCGTTTGGATGTGTCGTTTACCTTCGTCATCTATTCATGTCAGGTGATACCAAATATTAGTATAAGCGGAGATAGCGAAACGGCCACGAGCGCGCTATGAGCGTGGTATGTTGTCATATTCTTACATGACACGCGTGTGAGGGTTATCACGTTTGCACCAGACATATTTTTCGTCACTCTTTGACGTCACGTAACGCCAAACTTGGTATATGTGGAGCTAGCAAAACAGTGGCGAGCGCACTATGAAGGGCCCAATATACTCCAATGTAGCGTTGACGCGCGTGCACGCGGTGCACAACGACGCTACGTTAGCAACACACGAGCACTCTATAGTCTGACACCAGGCGCGACCATGGAGCATCCCTTGGCACGGCCCGACGGCAACCGGCGCGAAATGCGATACGCTGCATTTCGTACCGATGCCATAGAGTAACAATACTCTATGCCAATGCGTTACCCATACAGCACTCAATCTCCCTCTTTTCGCGACGGAGGGACGCTGGACGCACTGAAACACGCATCCGTCAAATAAACGCAGCGTGGCGCACGCTTGCGAGTATATGGCAGCACCAGCGCCTGGCATGGCAACGCCGGCCTGACGCGACGAAATGAACGCCGGCGAGCACGCGCACTGCGTCACGTCGAAATGTATTGGTACTTTGACGACGGCATGTGATCATGTTCTCACATCAAACGCATCCCATGATTATTATGTTTGCACCAGTCATATACCTTCGTCATCTATTCGTGTCACGTAATACCATATTTGGCATATGAGAAGTTAGCAAAACGGCCACGAGCGCATCATGTAGTCATGTTGTTACATGACACGCATGTCAAGATTATCATGTTTGGATGTATCATTTACCTAAGTCGTCCGTTATCGTCACGTAATACCAAATTTGGTACATGTGAAGCTAGCGAAACGGCCACGAGCACATCATGAGGGTAGCATGTAGTCATGTTGACACGCATCTTTTGATTTTCATGTTAGGTCTGTCGCTTGTCTTCGCCATGCAACTATGCCATACCATGCCAATTTTGCAACATTCCATGTGAACGAAACCGCCGCAAGAGCCGCAGGACCATAAAATGTATATCATAACATTTATGACATACATGTCATGATTTTTATGTTATGATTAGTCAAAAAAGTTCTTCATAGAGTCATGTTATACCATAATAAGTTTTGGTGTCAATATGATATGTAGGGTTTAACGTCCCAAAACTACCATATGATTATGAGAGACGCCGTAGTGGAGGGCTCCGGAAATTTCGATCACCTGGGGTTCTTTAACGTGCACCCAAATCTGAGCACACGAGCCTACAACATTTCCGCCTCCATCGGAAATGCAGCCGCCGCCGCCGGGATTTGAACCCGCGACCTGCGGGTCAGCAGCCGAGTTTTGGTGTCAATACCATCATTGAAACGGCCAGGAAAGCTAAAAGCCGTAGGCGGCTAGATAGATAGATAGGTACGCTCAAAGTCGCCGAAGTTCGCTAGAAAATGCTTCGCTATTAAAAGATCAAGCTTTCATAAAGGGTTGGAGCATTCGATGGCCCACTCGTTGCGCAATTCACACTATGTGATACCTTGTTGCTCGTTTTCTGTCCTAAAACGCTTAATTGCTCAGATTTACGCTATCCTGTTCCCGACACTAACACTGCCTAAGGCCACTTTGCAGAGGAGTTGCAAGCACCGGCATGGTTTAGTTGTAGAATACTGGACGGGCACGCAATGGACACGGGTTTGAATCCCATTGTGTTTTTGGTGATGTTCGTTTACTTTTTTCTATTTCGTGCGATAGTAGTTACGGAAGCCGGCGGCGGCAGTGGACAACTACGGCGCGCACGCTACCCGTGTTGTGATCTCGAAACAGCGTTCGCTGTAAAAGATAACTTACCACCAGCAGGATCGGAACCTGTGTCCGATGCTTTACGCCTGAGCTACGGCAGCGGTTATCCCTCCCTCCATACTATAGGGTATATATCCTTTTAAACGTGGGGACATCAGTCAGCGCCACCAGTTGCTGTCGCGGCAAATGTGAAACACTCTTTTTTGACTGTTAGCGTCACGTAGCTCGTTATGTTATTAGGAGATAACAGCTGAGCAATCTATCGCATATGCTTGGTAATTTGCCAAAGTGAATACTGCCAGGCATATGCGAGTCACAGAATCACACCAGGCCTCACAACTAGTAAATTGTGCAACGAGTGCGTGCATGGTTTATAGGTTCCTTCATATGTTACAGAGTCTACAGCCACACAGGTGTGTGTGGTGGCTTATGGGCACTTTGTGCTAATGCAAAAAAGGAAGAATGAAATAATGACCAAGCTTGTATCTACAAAATAAAATAGTTTTAATGACGAAGTGTGATCGCTTTTCAGGTGTTTTATAACTTTAAGCTCGATTATCTCAAAAGCACGCTGTTTATTACTTAGGTACCATCTTTTGCTATGCATTCTAAGATAATAGCTTCATAATTTTTTCTTGCATTCTGCATGAAAACGTACAGATAGTGACGCAGAATCGCAGTTATGCGCTTTAATGCTTTTGAGATACAAATTTTCATTAAAGGCCAATTAACTTGAAAGTTAGGCTGTAGTGGTAGAAAGATGAAAAAAATTCCACTAATATACAAACTTCAATACATCTAGCTCCGTTTAAAGAACAAAATATTTTGAAAAATGCTCTGTGAGATATATAAATATGCATTTTAGTGACTGAGAAAACGGTACACCAAAATGACAAAAAATGCGTGGGATGTGTATTGCCTACCTCGTGCCCTTAAAGGGTTGCTAAGCCACCCATAGAAGTACGAAAAACGAGCGTGCTATTCTCTGCCCGGCGTTTCCCGCATTTGCAGCACAATTCGTGACGTCAGCTGTTCGCTCACGTGATGTCAAAATGAAATGGGCAATGGATTGTTCCATATACGAACTATATCTGCTGTGAATTGTCTCCTACCCCTCTTTGCCTTGCAGTCGCATGCCCTGCCCGGTCTGCCTTGTCTCTCATGAGTAACTTGAGGGATAAACTGACTTTCACTTCGTTCTCTGCGTTTGCGTCTGCGCAAGTGGTGATAGTGGCGTGTATTCGAAAAGCTCGAAATACTTACTCGCCCAACATTTGTAAGGTGATTTCACACATTTTACGAAGTGGCGTGGAGGAGATAGCGCCTGTAGGGAGGGTATACGGAAGGCAAGGAAGAAACTCGCCTATAAGGTTACTGTGGTTTAGAGGCCCTTTATGGAGACATTACATGTGGGTGCTAATTGAAGGCATGTTTCCCCGTAGGCATCGGCCATCGCTCTCAACCGTGGTCGGCTGCTCGTGCGACCGCAGTGGTTGCGCCGTGTCGCCTACGCGCTGTGCGAGTCGCCCCTTCGCTACGCCTGTGCCCTGCCGACCTTCCTCCTGTTCGGCTTCAACCCGAACCAGCTCAATCAGGTACGCACAGGTATGATGGCCGTAAGAGAAGGTTAATACACAGTTTTATTTTTTTTACCAACGTCTAAGAAGAGTTCTTATCTTCAAAGAAAATTAGAAAAACAGCAATCGCTTACGGTCATATTATTTTATTACAGAAGTACGGAAAGCTGGGTGAGTTGGTAGGAGTTTATCATAGAAAGTTCTCAGCACGCACAATACGAAGCTGTAATATAAGACGTAGGTGCTTGTTGTCTTCTGCCCTTAAGTATTTGCCTGTTGTGTGGGCGTTCAAAGCTTTCCATGGTGTTTATACTGTGCTCTATTCTCTGGTTGATATTCTGCATGAAGCCTAGATGATACAGGGAAAAAAGTAAAGCTCATACGCGTAAACTTCCGCGTTGAACTCGGAGATTAGGACCCTTTGGCATCCACCATATGAAGCAGGGTTATCAACTTGAGCATCGGGCTTCATACATTGCTCGTGAACGTTAATGTAAGAGCCGTGTCAAGCGAGCAAGTTATGTGCACTCGCGGGAAGCTCGCACGCTTCAAAACCCCTAGTGGCACATTAGGACACATACTGATTAACAGAAAATGAGAGTGCACTTGTGGGATTATACTCTTTGCTGGGCAAGCTCATCAGGTTCATGTGCCTGTGCAAGCCGCAAAATATGGCCACTCTGCGCAACAAAATGACTAGAGAATGGGTCTAGGGGAGCGCAAACGTTCGATTGTCATCAATCGCGCAGAACGGCTATATCTTTATGGCTTCTGTAGCAGAGCGCACTTTTTGCAGAGAAGAAATGGCGGCAAACTACGAGTGCATTTTTCGAAGATAGGTGTGTTCCAATACTCACTGTAAGCGACTAAATGGACTGGTAAGTGGACGGCGGCCATCTTAAGTCTGTTTGTAATTCTCCTGTAGTAGGCAGAATAGACAGCTTCGTGATAACAGAGTCATAGACAAAAACAATGCACGCCACTTTGTTGTCCAAGTAAGATGGTGACTGAGCGAATCACTTGGATAGCTTGCATCTCGCCGGAATGGTCGTCTGCCCGGAAGCAAACACTTCTCCAGACATTCATTGTGAGTAAAGTTCAATTTTTTCTCAGACTTGAGCGCGAATGATGCTGAAAAATCAACAATGGCGTTTGTTTAGTTTAGTTTTTTTCTTCTCGACGCTAGGTGGCGCCTATATATAGTCACGTAGATCGTGCATCGGAATAGCAGAAAAGGAACACAGGTCCCTATGGCTAGCATTTTTGGATATCAAGAAAGCATACGATAGCGTGGTTTAAGAGAACTTGTGGGGATCACTGGACACAATAGGTGTGGAAGATGGAGTCACTAATCTTTTAAAAGATATCTACAAAGGTAACAAGGCAGTTATAAAGTGGGAAGAACAGGTATCCAAGCCCACAGAAGTAAAACGGGGGCTTAGGCAGGAGTGTCCTCTGTCGCCCTTGTTATTCATGATGTACCCACAATGATTAGAGGCCAGATTATAGGGAAGTGGACTGGGCTTCAACCTCTCTTTCTTCAAACAAGGAAAACTCATTGAACAGGCACTACCAGCATTGATGTACGCAGATGATATAGTGCTTTAGGCCGACAACAAGGAAGATTTGCAAAGATTGATGGACATTTGCGGTATTGAGGGAGATAGGTTAGATTTCAGATTCAGTAAGGAAAAATCAGCAGTCGTGATTTTGAATGATAATGAAGGTAGTGAGCTTAGAATACAGAAGGTCACGCTAGAGATAACAGATAAATACAAATATCTGGGCGTATGGATAAGCAATGGGGCCGAGTACCTAAGGGAACACGAAATATACGTGACGACTAAAGGTAACATGAATGCAGCGGTGATGAAAAACAGGGCACTGTGGAATTACAATACGTATGAGGTTGTGAGAAAAATACGGAAAGGGGTCATGGTTCCTGGTCTGACGTTCGGCAATGCGGTCTTGTGCATGAGATCAGAAGTTCAAGCAAGATTAGAAATTAAGGCACGAGGGTAGGCTTGCCTTAGGAGCTCACGGGAACACACCAAATCAGGAAGTACAAGGTGATATAGGATGGACATCATTTGAGGGCAAGGAAGCTGGCAGCAAGATAAAATTTGAAAAGTGATTGAGAGAAATGGGGGAGGAGCATTCGGCTAGGAAGGTATTCAGCTAATTGTACATGAAGAATGTCGATACCAAATGGAGGAAGCGAACCAGAAAATTGACTGGTAAATACTTAGAGAACAGCAGGGGCCAAACCAAAAAGAACTATCTGTTAAGAAGAAAATGAAGGAAACGGAGACTGACATGTGGAAAATGGGCATCATTAAGAAGTCCGCACTAGAGATCTATCGAACTTTTAAGCAGGAAATTGCCAAGGAAAGGATCTATGATAATACTCGGGGTAGTTCTCTACTGTTTGAGGCAAGGACGGGAGTACTGCGAACCAAGACATATCGGGCCAAATACGAAGGGGTAGACACAGTATGCAGTGCGTGAGGAGAGAAAGAAGAAACTGCCGAACACTTGATAATATTCTGTAAAGGGCTTCACCCTATAGTTCAGGATGATGGCGCAGAGTTTTTCAAAGCACTGGGGTTTAGGGACCGGGAGGGCAAAATAAACTTTAAGCGGGTAGACCTAACTAGAAGGAGGTTATCTGATAAGTGGCTAAAGTCAAGGCACGAGTGAAAATTAAACTTTTCCCTGCAAAGAAAGAGTCCTCAACCTCACCATTAAAAGGGAAAAAATAAATCCAGATTTTGGTTGACTAAGTATTACGGCTTGGTGGCGTTAGCCACCGCCCGATCTAAAGGGCACAGCCATATCAATTCATCCATCCATCCATCGAGCCATCCAGTCGTGTCCCTTTTATCGGAAAACATGGGTGCGATGCTGTCTTTAAACTGTCAGCGTAGACTGTCTACGATTCTGTCTACAATTAGAACAAAGCCAGAGAAACAGTTTAAGAGATAGGATTGTCTAAAGTTTGCTTATAAATAGGAACAAAATATATTTTTCCCGCTTAACAACGCCACTTTCCTTTATACAAACGTCGCCAAAATCTGCGTTTATGGAACGAACTCCGACCGGAGAAGGTGGAGTAAATGTTTTATTGAAACGAGAAACTGAGCTTGGCGTGTGTGGAGCCCGTACTCCAGGGCCTCACTGGCTCGAGCAGCTTGCTTGGCTTGTCCGGAGGTTGCCTGCTGGCTTTTTGGGTACCGTCAAATGAGTCTCACCTCCCAAGACCTATGGATTTCGTAGAATGCAATGAGGGATTAGTTGCCCTGTGCAAGTTTTCGCCGGCAATTGCAAGTTATGTGAATGAGTGTTGGTGAGCCACCGCACCAGCATAATGAGTAAGAGTATAGAAATGTCCGCAGGAGTATACTTTCCCGCAAGTGAGACTACGCTAGCGTCTCTCAGGCTCTGGAAAACATACTTTAAACGAAATGTTTTCTCCGTAAGTATTGACTTGACTTGCATGCCTGACACGGGCGTAATACATTGAAATTAAGCATGATATCGCTTTGGAAAATCGGCCTTTGTCTCGTAAGCATTCTCCGTAGGCCTTAACGTGTGTATTCGTTTTTTACCAGTCACGCTTGGCCGTCTACACTAGTCATATCCCCTCCGGTGCCTCCAAAAGGAACGTCGAACAGTACGCCCAGGTTAGTAAAAACAATTATATTTGACGGAATAATTATTATATTTGACGGAAAACAATTATATTTGACGGACGAGTTATTATACGGAATGTTTTCGAGCCGGAACAACGTAGTAGTAGTCATGTGCGGAAATTTTGACGATGCCGTATTCTTTAGGATTGCACTTACTTCACACAGGACATGGACATCTAGCATTTCGCTTGCGTCAAAGTGCGACCAACATCAGCTACGTTCAAATGTACGACTTTCGCGTCTTCGGCAGAAAAGCCTAACCATTGTACCAGCTAGGCCAAGAAAAACAAGTTAAATTACCTTTTACAGGTGAAGCATTTCTTAGTCAACTTCGGTGACTGTGCGCGTATCTGTCTGTCTGTCTGTCTGTCTGTCTGTCTGTCTGTCTGTCTGTCTGTCTGTCTGTCTGTCTGTCTGTCTATCTGTCTATCTATCTATCTATCTATCTATCTATCTATCTATCTATCTATCTATCTATCTATCTATCTATCTATTCTATTCTATCTATCTATCTATCTATCTATCTATCTATCTATCTATCTATCTATCTATCTATCTATCTATCTATCTATCTATCTATCTATCTATCTATCTATCTATCTGTCTGTCTGTCTGTCTGTCTGTCTGTCTGTCTGTCTGTCTGTCTGTCTGTCTGTCTGTCTGTCTGTCTGTCTGTCTGTCTGTCTGTCTATCTATCTATCTATCTATCTATCTATCTATCTATCTATCTATCTATCTATCTATCTATCTATCTATCTATCTATCTATCTATCTATCTATCTATCTATCTATCTATCTATCCACCTACGACTTTTAGCTCTCCTGGCCGCTTTGATAATGGTATCGATACCAAAAGTGGTATCGCATAGCATGACTATACGACGAGCATAAATGAATAGTCATAAACTTAGAATTATGACATACATGTCATGAATGTCAGATTTACCTTTCGTGCTCTCGCTGCTTTTGCGTTGTTGTGTTCACATGGTAGACTGTAAAACTGGTATGGTATGACATGACTGCATGGCGAACATAGGTGGCAGACCCTAACGTGGAAATCATGACATGCATGTCATGTAGGACATGACTACACGCCACGCTCATGAGCGCTCGCGGTCCATTCACTAGTTTCACATATGCCAAATTAGATGTTTTGGAACGTACATGAATGACGAAGGTAAATCACATGTACGATTCTAATAATGGTGACATCTGTGTCATGTAAAACATCACTCAATGCTGCGCTAATATTGCGCTCGCGGTCGTTTCGCAGGCTTCACATATGCCAAATTTGATATTTTGGAACGTAAATGAATGATGAAGGTAAATAACATGTACGATTATAATAATGGTGACATCCGTGTCATGTAGAACATCACTACATGCTGCGCTAGTATTGTGCTCGCGGTCGTTTTGCTAGCTTCCGATATACTAAGTTTAGAATCACGTGACGTGAATAGACGACGAAGGTAAATGACACGTCGAAACATTCATTTACGTGTGCCTTTGAACGCTGTGCTGACTTCAAGCGGACATATGCACCTTCCTCATTCGCGCTTCACATATCATCGATTCCCACTGTACTTGAGATTTGCCAATATTTTGATAATTTAGTGAAATATTTAGTATTCATATCTTTAGAATTATGTCCTTCGATTTTGAATGTTCTCACAATAAAATATAATCAATAAAATTAAGAAAGTTTGCTTTAAGTTCTACAGGCACTTGCATGTCGTAGAAGTAATAAAGTTGCACAGATCTCCCCTTAAAAAGAACTCTGAGTAGTATGCGAAGCTGCCTTGAGTCCACCTAAAGTTCGGGGAAGAAATGCTTTTTAATAATCGTCATAGACGTTCATGGTTAAGCTTACAGCCACTTTGCGAGTCCTCACCTCCGCCGCACTCATGCTCATGTCTCAATTCGTACTACTACGCTTTGTGTGAAGGAAACAAAGAGAGAGAAGCAAGCGCTTTCATTATACAGAGCAGCGCAGCACCGCTAGTGGTCTCCACTCATAGCCAAAGCACGCGCCGGAGTGGAGCGAGAGCTCTACCACAGAACCATCTAGTGGGCGCTCCGAGTATTATCTTAGCTACGACGTCAGACAAGAAACAAGGCACGACTCTAAACTGGCTCATATGTAAAACAAAGAAGATGTTCGTTCTCATAATACTTATATGCAGTTACGCTGGCATATTCCTGAGATATCAGGGTTTATAAGTAGTGTTCATACGGGACATTATGTTGCGCGACAAACTTAGGCTGTCAATTTGAAGCTTCTTAGTCACGTGAACACCACATCGGCAAATAGAAGGGCAGCTAACTGCATCCGCCCCGAGGTAAACTTGAGATGTGACGTGGCGTTTTTTCCACTGTTTATTGCTCACTTTTGTATTTCGTTCAACAGTATGTTCAATTCGTCTTGAAAATAGAAAGAATGTTGGGAGGTAAACAGATAAAGAAATCATGCACCTATGGTGGAGAAATAGGACCACACAGTAAATGCACTATTACCGGTTTGCTGAAGCCCCGATACTGATGAACTACTTTATACAGCCGTACATAGCTTTAGTCGATGAGCAGTAAGAAGCAATCGTGCGAAAGATAGATTGGCTCTTCTAAACGGGGTACCAGCGATGAGGCGACTTACCTTTACGCCTTGATTATTTTGACGCTTGACGTTCTTGTGCACCTTAAGATATAAATTGAATATTTACATTTAGTTCAGAAGATGGAGAAGAAGAGGCCATCAAAATGAACGCGTGAGCTCTCAAGAAAGAAGGAAGAAAGCGTCCGCCATGCACTACATTCGTACTGTTATGTGTAAAGAATATAAATATGGTCTTGTTTATTTATATGCCATGAATAACTATTTCGCAATATGTACTTATTGGTGCTGCTGAAATAATGTATTGTTTAAGCAGACATGTGCGATAATGATATCAATGTTCATCTTTCCTTTTTTCAGATCATCCGAGCAAGGAACTTCGTCAAGTACAATTATGGGCCCCTTAGGAACTTGGACTTCTATGGCACAGTAAGAAAAACCTACATTTTTCAGCACGCTCTCCAAGCATAGCACTGATTTCCAGTTATTCATACGTAAAAGTTTGAGTCTGAAAGCTTAAAAAAAAAAAACCACTTCAATATCCTTAGCACACAGTGGCAAAAGAGAATAGTGTTATTGCAACAAATACTGAAATTACTGCCATTTATGCCTGAGCAAGCTATTTGGGTATGGTTGGTGGTTTCCCACATTATTTCGAAAACTTTTGCCTCAATAAATAATGTAGTGCCCCCCCCCCCCCCCCGGCAGATTAAGGCGGTGCTGAGTGAGTTTTGTAGGCTGTCTATAACGCTGAACTACTAGTGTTGTCGAGGAGCATGAAATATAAGAATGTTTCTGATTACTGTTCTGAAAATTATGATGATTATCAAGATCACCACTGCGAGAATCCTATGTGTCTTGACTTGTGTAGTGTCTAGTTTTTGATAAGGTAGAGGAGAACAGTAATCAACGATTTCCATCGGATCCCGACCCCTTTCTTCCGAAAAGCGAAACAGAAAGTGTTTTGAGTGCAACATTTACCTTAGATAGATTTTGACTGGCTCTGAAAGCCCATTCACATCTAACTCGTTAGAAGTAACCCGTTATCTTTTTGTGTTATTTGAGGAATGCACATATAATAGCAAATCAACAAAATACCGACGTTCCCGCTTCGGTAATGGAATGAATAGTGATTCCGTGGTTGCCCAAAAATGTGCACCTGGAACATGAAACTGGTCGAAGAGAGTGCAATAATTGCAGAAAAAATACGAACATTGCAAGGAAGAGTGGTATTCGTAGACGCAGCCAGATACGCGTGCAAGTGTGGGCTACGTGGCCTGTGGTGGTCGAATGTGGGCATGTAAGACTAGCGTTACGCTGCGAACGCCCCTCACCGAGACGGCTGAGGAGGCCATCACGCTCGCCGTGGCCACCACTGAATCCGAAGTTGTAATTAGTGACTCGCAAGCGCCGATATCTAGCTATGCTAATGGCCGCTTTCCCCGAAAAGCGCTACGAATCCTAATGAATAAAGAAAATTCTATAATAATTTTGTCACATGAAACACCGCACACACAAAAACACCGCTGGCCAGCAACAAGGCCGCGCACGTGGCTGCACGAGAGGTCAATAACCGAGCTTTTGCGAACGCCAACGCCGTTTCAACCAAAGTTATACGCAAGAAAGAGTGGCAATGGGAGGACCGCATAGATAGTTACCATGAAATAACGCAGCGCTATAAGCTAGGAAGGCTCAAGCACCCTCCTGCAAACAACAGGAAAAAGAAACAGGTAGTTGCGTGACGGGAACTGCAAACATATACGTACCCAATTCAGCTCTCTTTCGTATCTGTTACCTTGAGCTGTATTTAACAGAAAAATGCAAGGTTTGCGATGGCAGAGCAACACTAGCCCACATACTATAGGAATGCTCGAGTTTAGATGACGGAACAGACAAAAACCACAAAGAGGCAGTCTCAGACCGCAGGGCGCACTTGGAGGAGGCTCCGCTGAGTTCCGCATTTGAAAAAAAAAAAAAAAGAACTGTGGGCCATTCAGCTAGCCGAGGAAGCCGCCCGAGCCCAAGGACTCGTGGCCGATGCATAGGTTGGGGCTTAGGCTCACCCAAATCAACTTCACTGAATTTTAATAATATTAACCCCTCACCCCTTCCCCCAGTGCAGGGTAGCAAACCGGACGTGTGTCTGGTTGACCTTCCTGTCTTTCATTTCTTCCCTTCCTCCTTTATTATAGTCTTTATGTTCTTTTTTCACAGGAATGAATAGCGTGCATTAAAATAACCAGTGCACTGATAGTGCACTGATAAAAATCATTTTATAAAAATTTTTTATATCATTTATAAAATTTTAAATCATTTATAAATTTTTTTTTGATAAAATTTTATCAGTGCAGACAAGTGCACTGATAAAAAAATGTTTCAGTGCCATTATTTTTTTAACGAATTATCATGACTTCGAATAAAATGAAGCATATAGATCACCAGGTATTTCTAAAATCTAACGACGGTTTTGTACGTTGTTCGTAACCTAATATTAGTATTTAGTGCCCACTACCTCATTATTATTCTTCTAGTTACGTCAATCTCGTGGATCTAAACCACGCGATTAAAAGTAACTAGAAAGCTCAGAAGAGTTCCGACTGCCGTCCTTGTGTTTCTGTTCATTATGTGTCCCATTGTCTTTTGCTGTTCTCAACTATGAGAAATAGGGAAACTGAGGCATTGCCAATTCAGGTTCTTTCCTACGTGTGGGTGCCCTGTCTGTGTTCTTTAGATTATAAATTTACCATTGCTGAGCCATATATATATATATATATATATATATATATATATATATATATATATATATATATATATATATATATATATATATATATGTGTGTGTGTGTGTGTGTGTGTGTGTGTGTGTGTGTATCTGTGTGTGTGTGTGACGCTACGATGAACGGGAGACGTGGCCTGGCTAATACGCCATGTTTATTCTATATCACTTCTTTCTCCTATGCTTCTACAAACCATCCATCCCATCATATGTCACATGATTCCCCTTCCTCCCGAAAGAAGGCATGAATTACGAACAAGAAAAAGTAAACAAGGCAAGGTTGAGAAGTCACAATTGTAAAAATGCACAATTGGTTTCATGTCCCAGTGGTGTTCCGTAAACTCGCAAAACTTCAGAAAAGAGTGCAGCAGCCCGCTAAATGGGGGAGTTCTGGTGGGCGAGGTTGGCTGTGGCGTTCTGGAGAAGGTAACCGCGTCTTGCAAAACTGCACTGACCATGACATGACTTGAGCAGCTGCGAGGAACGAACAAGGTTGGAAGTCCTTGGAGCACTTGAAGGTCGGATGTCTTAGGCATCGAATTCTTCATCGTGGCACAGGCCGTGCCGGCAGCTTGCGTGTGCATTGATGGAGGTTGATTCGGCGCTGCCTGTGTTTCTGCCGAGTACAAGGGGTGCTTTTGTGGCTTTTGCATATTTTTCTATGGCGATGTCGCAGATGTTTTGATGGAAGGCCCATTCTTGATCTTTGGTGGAGAATGTATCCACCATGATTGGCCTTTTTGCAATGTTCTTTAAGCCTTAAGAGTGCACTCGATGAAGTTTTGTTTCGTCGTTGACAATGTTGAAGTATACGTTGACGTTGTAGTTTCTTGTTTTCGTCAACTTGCTTGTGGTGTGACGTTGATCGCGGTGTGCCAGGATTCTTAGCGAGTCCTCCACAGGCTTTTACGGTGCCAACCAATGCAACTGTTTTCGGCGCAAGATAATGTGGCGGGCTCGGTGCACTTGAATCTTCTGTATTTATAAACCGTTCGTTGTTGGTGGTCGCCTGAAGCGTACTTAGGTCATCAGAAGTCGAACGTGTGGTTTTGTTTTCATTATAGGCAGTGAGGTTGTATACTGGATTCACGTTGCTTCGATCTTGTGATTGATGAACACTCGACGCTTCTGCAGAACACTTTTCTTCACAAGATGCTGATTGTGAATGCTTCTGTCTTTGTGGAACTGCTGAGCTGAATACTTTGAACAAATGAGATTTCTGTGAACATTCGTTGCCTGGTTTGGTTTCATGCGGACTTACTAACTTATCATGCGTAAATGCCGTCACGCGTCCGAAGACGCGTGGGCCATGTGTGCGACACGAAGCATCAAGTGATTCGGGTTGTTCAGTAATACCTGAAGTATTATGGTGCCGTAAATACATAGGAAATGCTGGTTTAATTGCTCATGAAAAATCCAACCGTAAGTTCGGTCTTTTGGCAAAATGGTCTACATTCCTATCGGCGTATGCGGTGGCATTACCTTCTCTGCTGCGACGTGCAAGTCCCTAGTTGGTGTTGTAATGCGTGACGTTTTTTCGGAAAAGTCATATGATGGTACAATGGCGGTATATTTCTTTTGGGGTCTCGTTTGGGAAATAGGCTTATTGCGGGAAGACTTCGCGTAACTTTGATGGTTGAGTTGGAAAGCTTTCCGCTGGTGAAGTATGGACAGGTCTTCATTGTATTCTTTGAAACGGGTGATCATTTCTTCTTTGATCATTTTCCAAGACTCATCGTTTCCGAAGATGTGGGTAAGGTAAAATTTGAATGCCTCACCTGAGATGTAGTCAGTGAAGTTTCATCTCCCGTTCCGACCAGGATGCAGCGGCAGCGTGGAAGCTCGAAAAGGTAGAACCAGTCCTGTACGGGCCCGTCGTTCGCTGATCCGATGTACTTGGGGACGTCAAGGTCGTCTGATGGTGCTGTCATGGCTGTCATGATGCTGGTCTTGGTGTAGAGTTGGAATGTACTTTCGTGGTCCACGTTCGGTCACTGCGTCTTGCTGAGACGTTCAAAGATGTTGGCCGGTTCATGAATGTGGCGCCCAGGTCTTCATCCTGCCGACTCCTGTGACGCTACGATGAACGGGAAACGGGAGACGTGGCCTGGCTCATACGCCATAGTTATTCTGTATCACTTCTTCCTCCTCTGCTTCTACAAACCAGCCATCCACCCATCATATGTCTCTCTCTCTCTCTCTCACACACACGCACACACACACACACACACACATATATATATATAAACCCTTCCCGCATTTCGACAACAAAGCCCGACATATAGAAGGGCCACCCCATACACAATTAAAACCCCCAAACGCGGATTCGCAGAGCAAAATAGCATTCAAAACGACAGACAGCGCCTTAAGAAACATTTTCTCCCGCGCCGACTTCCTGGAGCCTCGGAACGCTGTCCCCGACGCCGAATTAGTGACGGTCTTTAAAAAATAAAAAATAAAAAATAATAATAAAAAAAGCATTTTTCGCGACACGCAAGCCCTTACCTTAGCCAGGCCCCGTCTACAATAAAGGGACCGCCACCAAACTGCACTGAACGCAATACTAAGAAAATACACACTGACGACGCCACTCGCGAAGCACAGTGGAACCTGGAACTTTCTGGATATCCTTTCCTCTCTCGTTTTTTCAAACTCTTTCTTTCTTTCTGTTTTTTTTTCGTTCCTTCCCTCTCATTTTTTACCCAAAATACTATAAATGTGAGCGCAAACAGAATGTACCATGACTCCTGATGAAGGCCAGACTCTGGCCGAACTGTCGAATTAAACACTTCCGTTGTTACCGTTCTCTTGGAGGATCTACTTGACATATATACATATATATATATATATAATATATATATATATATATATATATATATATTATATATATATATATTATATATATATATATATATATATATGATTTGAGTGTATGTTAAAGAACCCCAGGTGGTCAAAATTTCCGGAGCCGTCCACTACGGCGTCTCTCATATTAATATGGTGGTTTCGGGACGTTAAACCACACATATCAATCATATGTTGTCAAAAGAGGTTACACAAAGTAGTCCACGCCATAGAATTTCCTAAATTAACAAGAGGTACTCTGGCAACCAATCGTTAAGCGACTATGGGAATGGTGTATAGTACACGGATTTGCCTGGTCTTCTTACTTGCGGATGACGAATCATACATGTGGCTTCGTTTATTGCGGTGTTTCGGTTCTACTTCGAAGGAAAAAACAAACCTTTTTGAACTTCATGACCCGCTCTGAAATGATAAGCCTAAAGTAGTGATGTGGTGGAGTGTAACCGGTGAACATTTGCTTAGGTTTGTTTTGGGACAAACAGCTCCAAGCCACACGAACACACATGGAGTCATAAGCACGAAGATCAAACAAATCCGTGTAAAACTCATCATTCCCAAACTTGCTGAAGCACCGTGCATTGAAGCTCCCATAGACACTAGCGTCAGAGTTCCCCCTAGTGTATATTTAGGAAACTCTATGGTGCACACACAACACTGTACTATGCAAATTTTAATGACTACAATATTCGAGGAAACAATGAATCATTCGAAGCCATCATTGGATTCATTGATATTGGGGGAGGGGAGAATAACATCCCAAAACTACCTACATCATTACGAGAGACACCATAGTGGAACGGCCCTGGAAATTCTGACCAGCTGGGGTTCCTTAACGTGCAGCCAAATCTGGGCACACAAGCCTACACCATTTTCACCACCACCGAAAATGCAGCCGGGATTTGATCCCGCCACCTGCGGGTCAGCAGCCGAGTACCTTAACTACTATACCACCACGGCGAGGAAGAGCCATCTTATAGGAGAGATGCTTTCAACGAAACCTATGTCATCGTGTCGCCATTGGTCAGCTTGTTATCTGGGTATCATTTACAAGCATGAGAGAATATAAACGAGTTAAAAACCAATTGAATTACACTTGGCTTGTTTTTCAATAACAGGCTGTTAAATATACAACAGATCTGCGCATATATTGTGATGTCACCGAGTTTTGCCATGCGTCTAATTATCTGATGCAAAATCGAAGTTTATATTTTACTACAGTTACTTAAGTAATTGCAGAATGGTTCACAAGACCAATATTCATTAGTTCTTTGTGGAAGGCTCTTGAAGTGACTGCTTAGGCAACTAATTTTTTCCCACATAATTTTTAAAGGTGAAAAGTCCGGCCTACGATTTCTCGAAGATTACAGCTCCAGTGGCACTCTTCAGCGCCAGCAATGACTTCTTTGCTAACCCTGAAGATGTTTCCACACTTCGGAGGAGCCTGCCGAATGTGGTGCTTGACTACGTTGTTCCAGAGCTGGAATTCACGCACTTGGACTTCGTTTTAGGCACCGATGCAGCTACAGTCGTTTACAGGCCACTCATCGATTTTATGAATTATTGGAGGCTTTTGTATGCGGCATGAAGGCAGCAGCTTATCAATAGTATTGGAATTAACCAATTGTGAAATAGCCTTGACTGAAATTGTGAAAAAGCATGAATAAACATCCTCACCAAGTAGTACGTAAACCACTGGCTGTTTTTTTTGTTTTCCTCTTTTTGCTGTTCAGTAGTTGGCTTACTGCTAAAAAATTAGGTGAATAATAAATAACATAAGAAACCGTGAACATACAATTGACATGACTGAAGCACTTGAAAATACCAATTTTTTACTGACGTAATGAGGCTGTAGTTGCGCGAAAATGAGATGCGGTAAGCAGTAATTTTCATCAGCAATTCCAGTAGTAGACTCATGTTTCAGATTTTCATCTTTAAATTGTGGCTCTGTAGCCGCTCGATCTAGCAACTGGGGTGGTACTAAAGGTGATATGTGGGGTTTAACGTCCCCAAACCACCATACGGTTATAAGAGACGCTGTAGTAGAGGTCTCCGGAAATTTGGCCACCTGGGAGAGGTGCTACTAAAAACAGTGATGTTCAAGTTGATAGTTTCACAATAAGATATTCCGCAAAAAAGTCGGGATCATTTTAGCAGCAATGCACATGACGCTTAAAATATCAAGGAAATGGGAGTATCAATCTGTTTTGCCTAATAAATGATTGTCTGAGTGCTTTTTAGTCATTATTTCCGCGGTCATACGTTATTATCAAATATTGATCGATCGATCGATCGATTAAGTCATTGATTTATTAGTGGGGTTTAACATAGCAAAACTCCAATATGGTTATGAGAGACGCCCTAGTGAATGGCTTCGGAAATTTCGACCTCCGGGGGGTTTTTAACCTACATCCAGATGTGTGCACGTGGGCCTAAAGCATTTTCGCCCCAATTGAAAATGTAGGCTACGAAGCCGGAATTTGGTCTCGCTATCTGCGGGTGAATTAATAATGATGAAAATGGAAGTCGAAATAACATTGTTAGGTTTTTCGCTGATCATTTTGCACGTGAAATCCACAGTGATGGTAGGTCTTTAAAGTGTTTTTGGTGTTTTCAGACATTACCACGCTAAAGCTTCCAGAAACTTCACAAGGTAAGTACTTAACCGGTTAGGAGTACGACATCACCCAATTTTTTTTGCTTATTCAAGACAACGTTGGGCCTGATAGGCAGCCTTTCTGCGGTCAGCGGCTCACACGGGAGAGTCAACAGAAATTCAATGCAACATAAACGAGACGGCACACGTGTAGGCACACGTTCTCGCGAACCACGCAGGGCGAGCGTCGTATATGACTGCTGAACCAGACTGCTGAACGAGCCGCCATGAGACTACCAAGCTCTTCTACCACCTCCTCACACTGAGGTCGCCACAATAACCAGGTGTTCAGGCATTGTACCCAAACACCACAACCTGCTAACACCGGAACCCCTTCGTCACAGTAGGTTGTTGTCTTGAACCCCCCCAGCCTCGGCGACCAACTTTGGTCCGTTCAGCAGGCCCCCGAGGTGGCGTTGAGGCAAGTCCTCGACGTCCATACGTAGAAAGACCCGAAGCCTGGTCTGCGAAAGCTCTGCCAGACCACCAATAAAGTTGTTTCCTAGCATAAAGTGTCGGGTCCTGCGAGGTCGACACTTGCATTCCACGCAGATCAAACAAGAACACGTAACAATTGCGATAGGTATAGTTCGCGCTTGCCATTTGTATACCTGTGCGCTGTTTTCGAGCATTTCTTCTTGTGATTCAACGGCAGGCTGCAAGTTTCAAGTTGCTTGTTGTTCTCTGCGTGGCATTCCGATATGTTTCTCTAAGAATCATTGCTTCGCTCCAGCCCTAAAACTATGAATTTTTTTGCCTTGACAGAGCACGAAATTGCAATTAGGGAAAAGGAAAACCTCCTCCCTGAGCTCTCCCTCTCTCTCTCCACATCTCTTTGCCTTTTTCTACCTCATTACGAACCTTTACAACGAAGGCTTCTTGGACGATCCCAGGTAATGGGCAAAAAGACGACCGAAAAAGAGAGAGAGAGACACAGTGCAACACTTCCAATAATATCAAGGTAAGGCTTCTAGGGCGCCGCCAATGTTTCGGCGGTGCTCCTCTTAATATGCGTTGCCGTCCTTCCCTCCCTCCGATGACCAGTGTAAATTTCATTTACTGAAAAAGTGACACAAAGAGAGAGCGAAGAAACACAGGGAAACAATTGCGTTCCCAAGGAAACTATATATAGGCTCCACACCAGGGATCGGCAACCATTTGAAGCGGAAGTTTCCGTTGCATAAAGAAGAGGGAGCCGTTGGTCGACATAAAATCGGAGGGCAAGCAATATGCGTAAAGACTCTTCTAATCGTCTGTCAATAACTTGCACAATAAATGAGAAACCATACCACACATGTCATAAATTCCAATGAGGTATTGGTTAAGAGTGAAAATACTATTTCATGTGAAAAATTTCATGTCAGTTTTCAGAGTGGAAGTGACAAACCAGAAAGGGGAGGGAACGGGCGTCATGCCAAGGGCTGCACAATACGGCCCCGCAGTCCGCACGTTGCCGATTCCTCCTTTATACCTTCTGCGCAGTGGAATCAGCTGCAGTGCGATGCCGCGGCGACTTGCTGTGCAGTAGGCTGCTCAAACTACGTTGCAAAAGGTTGCGAAATATTTTTTCTTGTTCCACGAAGAAAAACTTGCACAGAACGACAAGGGAGAACTTTGCCGCCGAGGGAGGCCTTGCGACGTAAGTTGATCATATTTCTGAATTTGTTTCACGTGCAGTTGCAGTCCGAAGTCATTTAGGTGAAGGTGAGACTAGATACTGTACACGGATGTCTGAGTTTGAAGAAAACAAGGGGGAACGCGGTATTAGCGGCTCGTATTGCTCGGATGTTTAAAATAGAAATGACAGCACAATCTCTATAGCTATCTGGTATTGAGCCAGATAATTGAAATGGTTGAAAAGAATTGCAGCAAAATCTCTAGTGATTTTTTTTTCATTTACGAACATTCATTGCACGTAGAAATACGTTTCGCTGGAGTTCTTGCTGAGCAACACCTGTTTATTTAGCTGTGTCACGTTTCGCGAAAGCACTTAAAGGCGCCGCATGCGATAAGAGTAGGAGCTTGCACTGCCTTGAAAATGCTGACTTTGATGCAAAGAAATGTGTGTTCACTTTCTCGCCCTGTGTCACTGTGAGCTGTCTAATGCCACACCCCCTCCTACCTTCCTTCAAAAGTAGGCCCCTAGATTGAATAATGTATTCATAATACTTCGAAGGTCCCACATCGGGCATAACATAAGGAGTGGACGAACAATCCACGGAGTGAATGACGGAGAGTGGGGCGAAGCATTCGTCTGTCCATTCGTTCTTGCTTCCGTCCGTCCATGCGTCCGTCTGTGTGACCGTCCATGCGTCCGTCCGCCCATCCATGCGTGCGTCTGTTCATGCGTCTATCCCTCCGTTCGTCCATGCATCCGCCACTGCGTCCGTTCATGCGTCCATCCATGCATCTGTCTGTGCGTCCCTTCGTCCATCTATTCAACACTCCAAGTACCACCATCTTGCATCTTTTCATCATATATTCCCCATATAAAAGCACCGCCATCCAGCGGACATTCCAAGGACTAAACGATAGGTGGCACACGCACACTTTCTTACGGCTTACGCTTCGGGTCTACTTCCCACCTTTAATCACCTCGAGTTCATGGTGTATACTAGTTCACTGTATTCATGGCACTGCGGTCCAACGCTCGCTAAACCTTTCAAAAACCAAGGAGCTTATGCCCAGCGAGTATGATGTAGCACCCTTTTCCTGTCAGATGTACATGCAAATGGCTGCTAATGGGAAATGAGAGACAGGAGAATTCGGCTTTTACTTTATTACGGCTTGTGCTTCGTATCTACTTCCCACCTTTAACCACCTCGAGTTCATGGTATATACAAGTTCATTGTATTCATGGTACTGCGGCTCAACGCTCGCTAAACCTTTCTAAAACTAAGGAGGTTACACCCAGCGAGTATAACGTAGCAACCCTTTCTTGTCAAATAGTGCTCAATGTACATACCAATGGCTGATAATGGTGATCGCAGCGTGCGCGTTATTCAAAAGCCGAATGCTCCTGTCTCTAATTCTTTCTTAACAGCCATTGGCATGTACATTGAGCCCTATTTTGTATTGTTCAACAACGCACCGAAGAAATCTCTCACCGGCACTACCTTGGAGGTCAAAATGTTTAATTTGATACACACTACAATGGCTACGAGGGACGAACGAGGGTCGTTATAACAAGCTTCGCCCCTAAAAAGAAAAACTAGCGTGTCTGGTTATATTTCATGATTTGAAGGATGGTCTTCAATGGCAGCTTTAGATCGAGCAAGGTTGTGGTTGAGGGTGATATATGAAGCAAGGACATTCGATTCCACGGAAGTATGCAGGAAAAATGAAGGTTCATGGGTGGTCGTATGTGCACGTACTGGACACGCAGCATTTTGGTGGGAGTCGTGGAAGGAGTGGTGTTTAGAAATGATTATTTAGTTTCCTGGAGGCAGCGAATGGAAAAATCTAAGGAATAATATCAGGAGAACAGTTTTCTGACGAGAAAAAAGTGAAGGTAGGAAGAGCTGTTATTTTAGGAAGGATTCATTTGTTCTGTAGGAATAATCAGAAAGAATGAACCTGGAAGCGCTGTTCTGGACCAATTCAATTGGTACAGAACAGTTAGGGATATTACTTGGTGGTTGTGACAAATATGGAAGTATATTCTTCTTTGAATCGGACCAATGCTTCATATGTAGGTAGTTGGCCTACATGGGATGCTAATGATAGGTTACGGCGTAGTTATCCTAATAGGCGAGTGTAGGAATTAGTTGGTGAAGATGGTGGGTCCATAAAATTGACGAGATATATGTACTGCTAGGCATTTACATGTCTTGCACTGAGTTATTGTGTTAATAATATTGTCACGTCACTCCAGGGGGTGTCGACAAGATTTACTGACGTCTGAGCAACAGGGCTCTAACCAAGCGCGTCGGTTGGGCTTGTTTGCCAGAGCGAGGGCCCACGAGCACTTCTTTCTTTTTTGTGGTGTGTGCCTTCACCTTGGCATACGACCCACTACTAGAAAGAGGTGGCAATA